GTCCATGTGCCTGCTAGAATTTAGAAATAAAACCCATAAGTACCCTTATGGTGGCTCTTTCTAAACTTTGCTGAGAGAATGTTGCTGTGATTGTGGCGTTGGGGTTAAACAGGAGGCTCTGAAAGGAGCCGTGGCACGGCTCTGGGAGTGAGTGAGTGTGTCTGTGCATGTGCCTGTGATGGTTAATTAGAGCATTTGGTCCCAGGAGGATCAGACATGGAAGACGACTGTCTCTGCTACGTGACAGAAAGCCAGGGGCAGCGTGCAGTTGATTAGTTAGTGGCAGCAAGAAAGGCTAGACGTAAACAAACATAGATTAGCAGACAAGCTGACACACGCCCATGGTACATTTAAATAAATGTAAAAATGAACCGGACGTGTGGAACTTCATGAACAAACTGGACCTGGAAACACACACACATGCTGAAGTTATCGCTTTTGTGTGGTAAAGATGCATTTACGTGAGTGTTGGTTGATTAGGACTTCAGCAATTGGATTGAGGATGTTGCTCTGTGAAGTAAAGAGGATAAGAAACAGAATTAAAGTAGTTTGTAGGAAAAGAGCGAACGTGAAATTCTGTTAAACTTGCAGATAATTTGCAGTGGCACTGGCTACAGACGTCCCACAATCACAAGGTTGTTGATTACACTGTGGTTTGCCCAGCGCCATAATCAAAGTGTCCTTGGGCAAAGCACTACTTCCAAACTATCCCTAAAAGGCCAATATGTAAAATACAATAGATTTGGTTGTCTATGCTGTCTATGCTATAAATGCATCAACAATCCTGGAAAAAAAGGAGGTAAAAATGAAGTTAAATTGATGGTGGCCAAAATGGTAAACTTCAACATATCTAGAGTTATTTACAATAAGGCTGTTTTTTTATTGTTTGTACGTTTTGTTTTATGTGGTAACACTGTTATTAACAGAGTCCAACACATGGCAGCAGAGGGTGGTTTGTGGTTCACCATACACTGAAAAGCTTTATAACAAAAAAAAAGAAAAACAACTCCTAACTGCGGTTTTAGAAGAAGTAAAGTTATCACAAAGTGGAAACTAAAGCTAAATGTGAGCTATAACTACAGCAAATGGATATCCCTAAAACCACTGAGATGTTAGATACACATAAATGCAACTTCTGTACTGCAGTGTAAACTTCACTGGTAAGACTTGATGTAAACAGCCCATAGTTTTTCCAACAAAAACAAAGTTTTTGTTGGAAAAAAACGTGGCACGTCACGTAGCTTGTCACGTAGCATGTCACATAGCGTGTCGTAGCATAGCATGTCACGTAGCATGTCGTAGCATGTCACATAGCATGTCACATAGCATGTCGTAGCATGTCACGTAGCATGTCACGTTGCATGTCGTAGCTTGTCACGTAGCATGTCGTAGCATGTCACATAGCATGTGACAAGCTACGTGCTTGTCACATAGCATGTCACGTAGCATGTAACGTTGCATGTCGTAGCATGTCACGTAGCATGTCACGTTGCATGTCGCATGTCACATAGCATGTCACATAGCATCGCACCTATCTGCATTTCCAGGCTGCATTGTCTTCCAATATTTTCTTATAACCACAAACTTCATGTTATAGACCAAAACAAAGTAGCGTTTCTTTAATTTTCAGCCTTTTCACAAATAAAAATCTGAAAAGTGTAGTGTGCCTTTCTCTGGAACTCAAAGTAAAAGTCTTTAATGCTGAAATTGTATCCATTCATCTTTGCAAAATAGCTTGAATTTAGCTCGGTCGATCTTCCCATAAGCTCTTGACTCTCCTGTTCCTGCTGAACAAAAACACCCCAACGCCATGATGCTGCCACCACCATGCATCACCATTGGGATGAGACCCTGTCTTATCCCCAGTAGGCATGTAGTTGTGCCATACTTTCTTCAATTTTAAAATGATGAACTGAACAGGGCTCAGTGAGACATTAGCCATATTGTTTTATAGCTTCACTGTCTCCCATGATGCTGTTTGTACTGGCAGCCAGCCCTTCCTCCTCCTCCTCCTCTGTCTGTCATTGGTCGGGACGTCCCTCCCTGGGCAAACTGCCAACCTGAAGTTAAGATCTTGATCTGGCGTATATTCCTTCACTCTTCCAGCAGGACTACAGGTTGGTTTTAGAATAGACAAACATTTTTCTAAACCACATGCTTCAAGGGTGAAATTACTACCCTGGTAGTGAACGTAAGGTTAATTATACCAAATGCATTTGGAAAACACAATTATGTCACATCCAGGTGGATCCCTGAACCAATAAACTGTGGAAGACTTTTTTTTCTCATGTTGTGGAACAGTCAAAGTTCACACTTGCTCCAAATTCCTAACAAGGAAACAAAGCATCTGAAGAATCAGGTATCCTCCAAGGCAGGAGGCTAGACGCCAAGAGGCTCTGGAAACCTGCTATACATGTTGTAATCCTTTACAAAGTTCACCTTTGGGTGCGGGGAAGAGCAAACATGCCTTAAAAAGAGCCTAAAAAACTAAATCAAGAGTCCAGCCCTCAAAGATAACACAACCAGACGAGCCAGAGGAGTCAGATGGCACCTGTCACGTAGGCAAACTGACAGGTTTCTTACATGAACATACCAGCGCAACAGCAAACACAGGCACATTCTTGTTCCTCCGCTGCGCTGACAGAGCAAAACTGCAGAGTTAAACAATAAGTCAGGACCTGCACTTAATTTCTAGTGTGTAATAACCCGAATAACATGTTTGGCTGGTGTCACGATCCTCATCAGATGCCATGATTCAAGAATGCATTCAAGCACAATGTGATAGATGGGATTCTGAGAGGAAGAATGTCACTGGGAAAATACGGGAAAATACTTTCTGCGGTGCAAATGATTTATGTTTTGGTATGTCAATTGCCTTCGAAGAGCTTTAACCAGCCACCACAAAGAATGCAAAACATGCAGTCATATATCACTAAAAAAATGTGTTTTTAAGACATGACATCCGTGTTGGATTGTGAATTCTGAGCAGAGTTCATGGGACTTCTCAGCAACACCAGAAGACCTGTGCAGAAACCTGTCACCTCCTGTTAAAAGAGGATGAAGTCTTTATTGGTTGTATTAAAATAAACATATTGGGTCAGCAGTCCAGAGATTCCTTCAACATCTGCACAGCGTTTTATTGATTTACATAAATTATTGATAAGAAAATAACATATAAAGTAAAATAACAAAATACCTGACCCTTCATTGTATTTCATATTAATGCTTTCTAGCAACTTCCTAACAAATCTCTATACAATCACTTTCTTGTTTAGAGAAACACCGGAAATGTACTTTCAAAATAAGTGCATATTAAGTGATAATATTAAGATGCTTGCTGCATAAAAAAGTACAAGTATTTATGAAAATTATCCTTTAAAATGCTGAATTTGTTGAAGAAGGACAAACTAGAGCATTTAAGCTAAATTTAAGTCTGGACTTTGACTAAGCCTCTCCAAAATCTTCAGTTAGTTTTATTTTATTTTATTTATGTACTTGATTACTTTGAGCTATTCAGATGTGAACCTGCTGGTGACCTTTGGAGAATTGTTCGGTAGGGCTAAGCAAGACAAATTTATGTCTAGACTTTCTCTTTCAAGATATCCTGGTATAGACAGCAGAGTTTATGGTTCTATAAATTATATGCAGGCCCTGGAGAAGCAAATAGGACGCAGACTATAAAACTACTACCGCCAGATTTGCTATGATGTTGTTTTTACAAATTTAGTTTTAATTCTATCCCAAAAAGTTCCACTTTTTATACTTGTCACAGTGCCAAATGTTTTTCCAGAAGTCGTGAAAATCAACATGGTTTTTGGGAAATGTGAAAAACTTGCCTCAACCTTAACACCATACTGAATCTATGATTTATTTTTTTGCCAAGAGGAAGAGGAGAGATCCCAGACAAAACCAGGGCTGATCATCTGTGGCACTGTTGTGCCAAGTCTCACAGATGCAGCTATTCATGCAAGAGCCTCAATAGATCAATGTATGAATAATGTGTTTATCCATCCATTTTCTGAACACCCTTGTCCCTCAGTGGGGTCGGGAGGGGTGCTGGTGCCTATCTCCAGCTAACGTTCCGGGCGAGAGGCGGGGTACACCCTGGACAGGTCGCCAGTCTGTCGCAGGGCAACACAGAGACACACAACCATGCGCACACACACACACTCACACCTAGGGACAATTTTAGACAGACCAATTAACCTAACAGTCATGTTTTTTGGACTGTGGGAGGAAACCGGAGTACCCGGAGAAAACCCACGCATGCACAGGGAGAACATGCAAACTCCATGCAGAAGAATCGAACCCAGAACCTTCTTGCTGCACGGCAACAGCTCTACCAACTGCGCCACTGTGCAGCCCAATGTGTTTATAATAAACTCAATTAATTAATTGAATCTAATTACTGATAAAAAAAATTAAAAAAAATAAATAAATTTCTGGTCACGCCAAAATAAGTGAAACCGTAAAAATAACTCAATTTCAGGAATCAGAACTATTTCGCGTTTTATTTTGAAACCTTAAACCGGAAGTCGTGAGTTACGTTGATTTGAATTGACGGTTGAGATGTTTGAGGAAGTCCTAGATAAACGAACCTGTCACGGAATAACTTGAGATGTCAAGTGTAAACATGAGTGTCTTCATCTCAGTCATATTTCATCCATGTTGAACTCAAACAAGTTACATTTGTTAGAGATTAAATCCAACTTGAAATAATTAAACGAAAAGAGCGACGCTTATAAATAAAACCCCGCAGCTGCCGCTTCTCTCGGTCAGAAACGTTATTTCCCGAAGGCTGCTTTTATTCCCATGTTAAATCTTTATTATCGCACCATAAATGTCATATCCTTACTGTCGCGCCGTAGACAGCACAAAATAAATTCAGCCTAAAGTAGGTTAACCTTGATGTTAACTGACAGACACTTTGCACAAGCCCCTCCACCACTGTTGGTGCTGGAAATTACCGAGGGGGTGGGACTGGAGGAGCAGAGACTTACCTGGGAGTTGAGGTGCCATGGGCGGCTGTTGAGCGGGGACTTCGTCGGTGCTGTGAGGGTCAGCGGGACGGAGCGGCAGGAGCGTCCAGAGCCGGAGCCGCCATGTTCATCTGGCTCAGAGGCTCCTCGGCTGTTTATCTTTACTAGTAGACCCCCTCCTCCTCCTCCTCCTCCACCTCCTCTCTTCTCGTAACGCCACCAACTCAGCTCCACACCGCTTCTTCGCATGTAAAGTTTAAAATTGAACCTGAGGAAGCAAGTCTCTGTGGCTGTAAATGAATAAGCTACTCGCTGCGGGGGGAAAAACGGATGAGAACATTTGCTGTTTTGAATATTATGTCATTTACATTGGCTTACAAAACTTTTAATTTATATTCTAATTCTGAACGTTGGAAATAACATAAAACAACCCATTTAAGAGCATTTCCTGAAAACCAAAGTAAAAGCTAAAATCAGTCTTCAGGGAACGTTTTAAGGATTATATTATAATTCCCTTTTGACTGATATAATCTTACAAGCGACCTTTAAGGACATTCCCTCAAGTTTCCTGAAGTTCAAACTGGGGGATTGCAACAAATCTTCTAAATAATACAGTAAATAATATTCAGAACGTTATACTGAATATCCAGTTAAGCATGAGGGTAGGGGTGTACCAACGTTTTGCCACAATCCCAAAGTTGAAAGTAGTTGGGGGCCATTTTGCTTTTCCAACATAAAATAATTTTGTTGGAAAAATTTTTATATCTGCTAATTTTAATTAAACAAAGTGGCATTTCCTTCATCTTAATAAGAGGCAGACAGTTTCCTAAATTTTGGGGCATATTTGGTCTAAAATATTTTAGTCAATTTTTAGCAACAAAATGAGAACTTTCTTCACAAACCCTTCAGGGACCTTCTAGGAACAACTCCTGCAGATTCTGGAACTGTTATAAAGCAACCTACTTACAGGGAACCTATAGGGAATGCTTCTTCAAATCCCTTAAGTCACACTAAAAAGCTGCAACAGTACCGAGGTGTTTATCTGCCATAGTTGGGAAATAAATACAGGAGCATCATATTGTTAAATCAAGAAAGTTTATTGTTATAACTAAGTTGCAGCCAGACTTAAGGAAAACATAACTTAGGCAAGGTACCCAGAAGGTCACACCATGTATGTGACAACCTACATCTTTGTAAGCTTTGAGAAACATTTAATTAAGATTTATCTAAAGTCAAACTCAAAGTGGAAACCAGCCTACCCTATAATTGTCGCAACCAACTTACAAGCTTTTAAGGAACCTCTCAACTTCCCTAAAAGTCACTCTGAAAAGTGGCAGTCAACCTTCAGGAAAACAAAACACTTTGAATGTGATAACTGACACTGAACGTCGCCTTAAGGTCAAACAATCTTCAGGGAACATTCACTCAGTTTCCTTCAAGACAATCAAACTTAAGGAAACTTTTAGGAAACCGTTGTTGGAGGAAGGTACCCTAAAGGTTCAGATGTATGTTGGAACAGTCCTGCATGTTTTCTAAAGGTCAAGCTGTGAAGGATGAATAAACATTTTGCAGACATTTAAGGACCATTCTATGTTCTTCAAAGCCAACACCAATATTGTTGCAACCAAATTTCAGAAAAAGTTCCCTGGAGGTCCCTACAAATTCAAACTACGGTACATATGTTAAAGGTAGTTTCGAGAGCATTCCTTTAAGGTTCCCAGAAGGTCAAGTTACGGTTGGTACAACTGAGCTTGTATATATGCTCACGGAAAAGTTCTTAAAGATCTAATCTTGACAAGAACATTTTTAGTAAATGTGACCTAAAGACTGTGAAAGTTGGAACCAACCAACCATTAAATTCTGTAACCTGGTATCCAAATGCAGCACATTGAGTTTTTTTTCTTCTCGTCAACCTTTCTGTGTTCTCCATGTTTCTGTCAATAAAGTCTTTCATAATGACATTTGCTAACTGTAAGTAAAATCACCAGTCAAATACTAAAAAGGTTTGTGTTCAAAACAGCAGCACTGACACAAAGAAAGTCCCCATGTAGTCAGACTGCATCAGCACCGTGAGTCAATACAGAAACAGATGAGATCCAGAGTTCAAGAGGTCACCCAGCAGAACCAATGAGGGAACTCTATAGTGGTTCTCCATAATGATTTAGTTGGAATCATGTTCAGCTGTTCAAATTCCAAATGTCATATTTTATTAAAATTAAACATTAGTTTAACAATGAAAAATAGAACAACTCACATAACATATGCATAAAAGACAGACAATAAGTCTCAATGTGAATCTTATTTATTTACAACCTCATCAAGAAAGATAGAACCTTTTTACTTCATATTACTGGATTCTTATTTTATTTTTTCATAACAATTGACAGATCAGGTTACTGAACAGATGCTGCCACCTAGTGGTAACCTGGATCCGTGTTCACCTACTTTCATACAGACGTCACATTACAGTCCAAGAACAAATGTTAAGGGGACAAAATCTACCAAGTTAAGGAGAGAAATTGGTAATTTAAAAAATGATAACCACAGTTATAAAAAAAATCCACCTGTATGAAGGCATAAAGAGATAAATGATAAGCAGTTAAGAGTAAATCAAATTTTCGGTTGGGCAGAAAAACTGTAGAAAATATGTATAAGAAACCAAATTTTTAAGAAGCAGAAGAATTCAAACAGACAGGAGCTCACTCTGTAGGAGATGTCTAAATCAAGGCTGTAAATGACCTTTTGATTCATTTTAAATCTGTGATGCAAGCAACAACATGGTCCATACAAGACATTTACCCCTTTAAAAAACATGTAAAGCAACATGTTTAAAAAAAACATGCAATACTTTCCATTCAGCAGGTGTTCCTTTCAGCAACACCCATCACTGTGTAATGTGATCACTTGGTTTTAAAAAGGATTCCCATGTCGTCTGGATGGATTTTCATCACTCAGGTTGAACGTTGCATTTATATTATTTCATCTAAGTTTGGCTGGACATCATAGATTACTTCTCCACTTGCTGCTCGTAGAAGAGTGATCCACTGGGGGAGATGCATGTTTGCATTAGACCAGAATGAGAACTGAAGTGGTTTATGGATTGTTGCATTAGCTATTGCAGCAGAGGAAGTGATAAAATACCTAAAGTGATCTTGCCTTCCTTTTCCAGTTTCGTGAGGTGATGAACCAGGTTGACATTAGCTGCTTGGTGCAGGTTTTCAGGGGTGTCCTGGAGAAAAACAGGCACAAAGGTTAAATGTAAGGTTAAATAGCCATGACGGTTTGGCCATTCATGTCCGGATAACCTTCACCAACAATACAGACAAATTCATCAGAAAATATTTCCAACTTTGTAAAATACAGACAGTGTGAAAATTAAAAGGAGGATACTGTGTGCTTTTAATAAATAATGCACATTAACTTGAAAGCCTTTTCTGAATTGAGTCTGAAAGTCTGTTTATCAAAGTAAATAATACATACATGGTAGGAATATGATACCTGTAATGAGTTGAAATATTCAGGGAGGAGTAGGTCATTTTCATTTTAAAGTTTGTAATAAAAACAATTGGATCACTTACACTTTTTTGCTTTTAAATATTTCTGTACATACTGTGGTTCTGTAAAACTGTTGTGTTTTTAATAGACAAATCTAACTTAGAAAAGCAGACTATGTGTGTTTATTTATGGTTAGTGTAGAACCACTCACACCTGTGTGCTTTCAAGAGCTTAAAATAAAAAGCTTCAAAGAGACCGAGTATTCTTCCTGACCTTATAGACGAGTTTTACAAGCTCCATTGAAGAAAAAGGCTTTCCTGCTCCATCCTGAACAGCTTTCAGGATCTGTTGTTCTCTTTGGTCTCGGTGGGTGATGTAGTGTTTGATCATAGCGCCAGCATCCTGAACCACAGGTCCGTGTCCTGCACAGGAACACCAGGAAAACAGTGCTATCTACACTGTCACCACGCAGCGGTGTAGTGAAAAACGTGGTGTTCTTGTCTCTCAGCATTTTAGTGTAGACATGTTCCATGTTATTGTTTACATCTGGAGGTTTCAGGCATGCACACAGCGCTGGGGGGCAAAAATACTTTTTCTTTTACTTGCCATCTATAGCCGCACACCCGAGGTCGAACAATTTCGTTAACTAAATGCAGCCTGGAGATGTGGGTATTATTAATGTAGTGCAGTGTGCCACAACAAAGGGAAAAAATCTGAAAGGTTGTTGAAGAACAACTGAAAACCACTCGTATTATTTTTTCCTTGCTCTCTGCGTCGGCTATGCTACACACAGACCCCAAACCTGACCTGCTTCTCTCTCCCTTGCTATATTTTTGATTAAAACTTCTTCCTGATCTTGTTATCTATTTGTTGTTATGTTGACAATTAGTAGGAAAGCACTGTGTCCCTTTTTTTCTTTTACATAGCACACATACATTTAAGATTTAACACGTTATGTTGACAACTTGACAGCTAAAACCAATGCTTGTCATCGTCGGTGAGCAGCTTTTTGCCCTCCAGCAGGGAGATGGGGGGCGGACTCTAGCATCTGCGACATCACACTGCAATGTGTCCAAAGAATAACTTTCTGGGGTAATGTGTACAAACATGTTGCCAAAGCTAATTTTCTACTCACCGGGGTAAATGAGGTCAGCCTGTGTGTCCAGCAGGATCTTCAGAGACTTCATGTAGTCGTAGAGATCCTCGAACACGGCCGTGCCCTCGCCCAGGATGCAGTCTCCGGAGAAGATGGCCTGCTCCTCCTCCAGCAGCAGGGCCATGTGGTCGTCAGTGTGGCCTGGGGTGAAAAGCACTCTGAAATGTGGAAATTTGGCTCAGATATAACTGACCTCCCATTCAAACATGTTTCACCTTAGAAGTTGTAACTTATTTTTTAGTTTACTCAATATGCTAATTCCCAGTGGAAGATGTGAACTGACTTGAGAGTGGCTCCTTCAGTCTGGATAATATCTCCGTCTTTTAGGTAAGAATACGACTTGCTTCCAGCCATTTCTGTGACCCGGGTGGCACGTGGGAGTTTGCTGACCCGAATGTCAGATCCTGCAGGATAGAAAAGCTGTTTGCATTCATTTCATCCCCTTCAGTAAGCAATCATGCAGGAATATGCTCTGATTAAAAACAGAATCAAACAGCCCAGCCCTGTTTGAACCCACAGAAACAAACCAAACCGGTTATATCTCTGCAG